AAACACAGAAATAATTCATACGTAAATTAAAACTTTTTTTTTTCTTCTAATATATTTTGTTTATTAAAATTAATTGAAAAAAAAAAAGAAAGAAAAATGGGAACAACCATCCATTCAACTGACTATTCATCTAACCGACCAAGCAACCAAACAAACACTGAATTGAGTTAAACGCACCACCATTTTGAATAGATTAGTTCATTATTAAGATAAATTCAATTTTTTCAATATAAAATATGTTTATCTTAAATTAGATTTATTTAAGTTTTATTATGTAACTTCATTTTTATTTTTCAGAAAAAGAGAGAGGGGGTTGGTGAAGATTTTAGTCATTTGAATTGTTGAAATCATGAGTCAATTGAAGCTAGACCATTATGGATAATCTGGAAGCACTAGATGACTGTTTCATCCTATTGTGAGAATCCACAGCAGTGTGCGTTCACTAGCCCATTCCTCAAGATTCGAACTCAGGACTTATCAGTCTCACGCCAGTGCAATTAACCACTAGACCACTGAGTCGGCATACAACGGTAAGTAGTGACCAATGGAGTTTAACCAAGTCTGTTGTGAGATATCAACTCACTGAAGACAATTGATGAACGGTTACTCAAACTTCATCGATTGGTTGAGGTTAGACATTAACACCGTTGGATGCTGACCGGCTCAGTGGTCTAATGGTTAAGCGCTCTGGCGTGAGATTGGTAGGTCCTGGGTTCGATTCTCGTGAGCGCGGGATGGTGGATGCGCACTGCTGAGGAGTCCCATAATAGGACGAAACGGCTATCCCCTGCTTCCAGGTTTTCCATGGTGGTCTAGCTTTAATTGATTCATGATTTTAACTATAATTTTCATTTATTTATATTAAGAATTGTTGATTATTCAATAAGTTGAATAGTTTAATGAAATGATTGGTTTACATATATACTTACTTATTCCTGTTACTATTCGTGGAAGAGTATAGACCACCTATACCGGCATTTCTCATTCAACTCTGTCATGGATAATCCGTTCCATTTGTTACTAGTTGCTGTGTCATTCTTATCATGTATGCCTATAATTCTCAACTTAATGTGTCTATTGGTCTTCTTCTTTTCTGGTTCTATTCAGCATTCCATGTTAGTGATTATCAAAATGTTTATCTTATCCACCTTCATTGTCTTTTTATAATTTCCTCTTTAACTGGAAGTTGGCTTATTTTCTCACATAGTAAGCTATCGCTGATGGTATTTGATCAATGGATATTAATTTTATTAGTCTTAATTGGATTTTTCTTTTCTGTGACAAATGATTTAGATAACTATGATTAATAGATAGTTAAAGAATATTTTTATAGTTGAATTCATGAATTGATGTAAGCTAGAGCGTCATGGAAAAGCCGGAGGAACTGGACAGCCATTTCGTCCTAGTATGGGACCCCTCAGCATATTGTTGAAGTGTAATGTAGTTTAAAGTAGTCAATAAGACGTTTTATAAAATACTCAGGATTGATTCATCAGTTCTAGGTTTAAAGTTTCCTATACATCAGTTTCAAATTCTTAACATCCATATATATTGTATACAATTCTGAGTTATTTAGACTACTGATTAGATTGACAATTAGTAGTATGTAATAGATGAAAGTGATGCTAGGCACTACTTAACGACCAAATTCGATGAAGGTATAATGTGTCTTTAAACGGGACAATTATTCATTTGACGTTTATTGTTGTGATGTTCAGTATGTTTGGCGATTCACTAAAGAACAAATATTCCTACGTTTGAGGCAACGGATTTACTGGATTTGTTAACTATAGAATAAATGAAAAATTAAAACTGATTTATACATCTGATAGATGTAAGGATGGCTCGTTGGCAAACTTTAGAAAGCCTCAATAAGCCCAGAAAGAGCCGAAGACATTCCATCCAATCACCACTAGGGGAACATTCTAGAATGTCGACGTGTAGCTTCCCTTTTGGATGGATAAGAATGGCCCCCCTATATGCCCATTGGCTGTCCGAAATGATGATTTACTTTCAGCCAAAAAAAACAATAAATACATGAGATTACTGTACTATTTTGACGCTGTTCAAGTAGTCTAGTAGTATGCGGCATAGCAAGAATCAAAGCTCTAGATATAACAATGGACTTATAATTTTAAACGAAACAAAGAGTTCGCTAAAATAAATCGAAAATCAACAACACCTATTTTCTTGCTACATCCAGTTGTAATCTAAATGTTATACTTACTTACGCCTCATACACCTAGTAGTATAGAAGCCATCGACCAGCAATCTCCAACCTACTCTGTTGTGAGCTCTACTTTCAACTTTTCTCTAAGTTCTATTCATTCTTTAAATGTTTGTTTCTAATTTCGAGTGTAGTGTATCTTTTGGTTTTTGGCTTTTTCATTTTCCTTCAAGGAGTTCGAGTTAAAATTTGTCTTGTGATTCACTTTCATTATTTTTGTAACAACCATTTAACACCTACAAGGTTATCATCTTCACTATATACTGAAAACAAAGAACCTTTCCCATTTTCTCATTACTTTCTAAACATCCTAACAACATATTTCTCGTAGTTTTCAACATGGAGTGATCGTAGTAAGATAACCATTTAAAACCAGAATACACTGGAGGTTTCTTTCATTTTAGTATGGAACTCCTAAACAGTGCACACTGATGATTACACGATGGTTCGAGATCATATAATACACTCTTTCCGAGGGAAATCACCGACCCAGCGAATAGTCACGTCCACGTTTAGTTTTGACCATTTCCTCGGTTCACATTGGTTATTTCTTTTTTAATTCCCCTCTAAAACACAACAGTAATTTTATGCAAAGATGGATAGTGTCTAGCAGTGGAATCCAGTTTGAAGCGCGTTTCGTCCTATTTGCGACTCGTCAGCTAGATGTACCTGTTAAATCTCAGAGTTGATGTTCACTCTGGAACTCAAACCCAGTAACGTTCGCTTCAAACGCCATCACGTTATCTACTTAGCTAATGAGTCCTGAAAACCACTTGTTTGTGGAATAGGGTAAAGTTTGAATTCATTTAGTATTGTTTGTTTGAATCTTCCCATTTGATGTTTAGGACTGCAACTGGTCACTCTCTTATTGGTCATATGTGCATACTATAAGTATTACCTTGATATAGCCTTAACAGTAATTTACTTGATTCTAACTAACTTCTCATTGAACCAAGATTTTCAAGTGACCATATCAATTGTTAATATACATAAATTGAATCATGGATGTACATTGTTGAATAGTCTCATATTAGAACGAAACAACCATCTAATCTTTTCAAATTTTCCATAGTGATCTAGTTTCAATGAATTCATCAATTCAACTAATAACTTACTACAATCTCTACAGACCCCCCCCCCTTACACCTCTCACCTTCTAATCATATTGATTTAATTATCAAATTGATTAGTTAATTAACTCAGAATGATAATTATTTTTGTTGTTGTGATAAACATATAGAGTTGCGCTTTTGTTGTCAAGTGGAAATTATTTATTTAGATGAGTATAATTCAATTACTATCATAATTCAATTCATCTTTACTTTATTTGAAAAGTTTACTTCTCTTTTTTTGTTTTTTTCTTTTTGTTTGTTTGTTTGTTTGTTTGTTGTTGTTGTTCCATTGAATGTTAAATGTAAGTTATATAACAGAAAATGTGTTACTTCTTATTATAAGAGAATTAAATGAGATTATAAGTTATGGATGAACCAATCAGAATTATTTTCATAGTTGAAATCATGAGTTCATTGAAGCTAGACCATCATGGAAAACCTGAAAGCACTGGATGGCCTTCTGCCTATTGTGGGACTCCTTAGTGGCAGTGCGCATCCACGATCCCACACTCGCAAGATTTTAATCCAGGACCTACAAGTTTCGCGACAGAGCTCCTTGTCTCTACTTAACATGAATTAGTTCGACTGATCTAGATTCAATTGACTAATGATCTAAACTATATAAAACAAATCAACTGATTCAGTGAGTCATAATGTCATCAATCGTATATGACTGACATGACATATTTGGATCATTTCAATTAACTTAATTTTATGATCTAAATATAAATCTCTGATATCTCTTTATATCTGAACTTCAATCCATGAATAACTCTGTCAAAGAATGAATTGTAGCAAGTAATGGAATCTACGATGCATGTTTCGTCTTATTTAAAACTCGTCAGTTGAATGTACCTGAACAATAACCAATCAAGATTGATTGAATTTCAATCATAAAATATTAACTAAAATACAATCCAAACTACTTTAAATCAAATTGAGGTTAGGATTTAAAAGGAAATTGTGGCGAAACAATGCTTTATGGACGAACCAATCAGATTTACGATATTAGGTCTTGAACTTTAGAGCGAAATTCATTCATTCATTTGACTGTATGGAGTTTTGGCATTATAGCTTATGTCAGTTCGTGATGAAAAATGATGAATATAATGTCGAATCCTAATCATTAACTATGAATCATAATCTTCATTCTTCAAAGAGTTTTATAACCTTGACTTAGCCCTAGTAAGTAGGTAGACACTCTCAAAGCCAGTCACTTTGGTATCACTCAAAGGTCGTCCACAAATTATAGTCCTATCAAAGTTCTATATGTAAGAACCTTTAAACTAATTGACTGATCTCTGTGTTCTATAATTAGACAGCCTTCATATTCATAGATGTTGATCAATCTTCAATAACTTCAAGATTTCATAATGAAGTTAGATATAGTTTTCTTTTCTGGTTAGCGTTTTTTTAGCGAGTTGGTTTTCTAACGGGGTGGGGTCGCTAGCCCCATGCTCAACCCTCCTTTTTTACCCGGGTTTGGAACCGGCAGTAACCCCTGGGAGAGCTGAAGGTGGAGTTAAATTAGATATAGTATTTCTATTACATTAATACTTCATATACATATATGTATATTTTAATTCTTCTTTTCTTCTTCCCCTTTCTCTTCATCATCATCATCATCATCATCATCATCATCATCATCCTTCTATTCAAAGATATTGTCTATTGTGGATTATATGAAAAACGTCTATTAAAATATTTATTCGATTCTAGTCGGCCAGATGCCCATAATCCAATTGAACGTCCATCAGCAAATGATACAGAAACATTGAATGTTAGTGTTAAATTCTTTTTAAATCAAGTTATGGATGTGGTAAGTTGAAACTTACTTATTTCAATCTTTAATATGTTCGTAATAACAAACCATCATTTGATATTATAAGCAAAGATGGATAGTGGATAGCAATGAAAGACGGGATGCACGTTTCGTCCTGTTTCTGACTCATCAGCTGGATGTATCTGAATCTTAGAGTTGATATTTACTCTAGGACTCAAACCTAGTGCTATTCGCTTGAAGCACAATCACGTTACCGACTTAGCTACCTAATCCTGATATCCACTTGCTTATGTAACGGAGGTATATCATTCGACAAGCGTGTCATGTTAGAAGGGATGTGGTATAATATAAAATGAAATTGAATATGCTTGTTTTATCAAACTGAAGAAATTGGTGTTCCTAAAGAATCAGGCTCTAATCTCGATAGACTACTAGTTGAAAGTTATCAGTTATATACTGAAGCAAACCTAGAATCTTTTCTGTTTAACCTGGTACTTGATTCCAAATCATGTAGAATTTATGAAGTCTTCACATATTTTGATCTTACAGTATTTTATCTGAACCAAGCTTGTAGAATTTCTCAAGTTGTCTTCGGGGATTTCCATGACATTCACCATTAGATTTGAGATGTGTATCCTTTCAATTTAAAGGTTATCACTTATACAAACGGACATCGAAGTAGCACACACTAACCTTCCTATAGATGTTACTCCACCAACGATCGAAGAAGTCAAGATGGCCATCAGACAAATCAAAAGTGGGAAGGCGACAGGACCTGACAATATACCAGCAGAAGCACTGAAGTCAGACATTGAAGTAACTGCAAACATGCTTCACCTTCTATTCACGAAGATTTGGGAAGAGGAACAAGTGCCAATGGACTGGAAAGAAGGATATCTCATCAAGATACCAAAGAAAGGAGATCTGAGCCAATGTAAGAACTACAGAGGCATCAGTTTGTTATCAGTAACGGGAAAAGTTTTCAACAGAGTGTTGCTGAATCGGATGAAAGATTCATTAGACGCCGAACTTCGGGATCAACAGGCTGGATTCCGGAAGGATCGGTCATGCACAGACCATATTGCGACACTACGGATCATCGTTGAACAATCAGTTGAGTGGAACTCATCACTATACGTCAACTTTATTGACTATGAGAAGGCGTTTGACAACGTGGACAGGAAAACATTATGGAAACTTTTTCGACACTATGGAGTTCCTGAAAAGATTGTCAACATTATCCAGAACTCATACGATGGACTACAGTGCAAAGAACACATTAAGCTGAGAAATAGGAGCAGATATGAAAAGTATGAATAGCAATGGGAAAGAACTAAAAGGGATTGTCCCGGACAGGGTTAGATGGAGAATGCTGATGATCGATTTATACTCCTCGACAAGGGGTAACAGGCGTAAGTAAGTAAGTAACTTATACAAAGGCTGCTAATTACAAATCAATGATACTCAAAATAATTAAATAGAAACAAAATTTAAGGAATAATAATCTAGACTCTCTATCGTAGACAATATGAACTATGTAACTCATAAGCTGACATGCCTTAGAACAGATTACATTCGTTCATTTGTTTCCGATCTACTTGAAATTAAAGATCTAAACAGTTGAAGTTTGAAACTAATCCATTCAAATTGATTAATTCTCAGTATAAAGTTATGTAGATTCTTAAGTTTTTTTTTGACTGAGATCATGACTCAACCAATATTAGACCATCATTAAAAACCCAGAAACACTAGACAACCATTTCATCCTCGTATAGGATTCCTCAACAGTATTCATTCACAATCTCTCATCAAAGAGACACAAACTCAGGACCTTCAGTGTCTCGGGCAAACACCATAACCTCTAAATCACTGAGCTGGCCAGCATCCAATGATCTTTATAAAACACTTGATGAAGTATCTCTATTTGAAAAGAAAGTAAAAAAAAAATAACCCATCTTAAAGTCAATGGTTTCTAACCAATTGAACATTGAAGAATACTTGATAGTTTCAATTTTACAACGTGATACACACACACACACACATACTCTCGTTTTTTCTTCCGTCTTGATATAAATTAGTAATAAGAAAAAAAAAGAGAAAAAAATTGAAAAACCAAAAAAACTTTTCTTTTTTCTTTTTTTTCTTAAAAAAGAAAAAATTTTTTTTCATGAATGATGAATCGTTTTCAATGATCTTTTTTTTCAAGGATACTTAATTATTAACCTTAAATTAAAAATCATCCATTAATATTAAATATGAAATGGGATATAAAAAAAGAAGGAGGGGGATAAGTTTGGGAAGATGTTTCAGGGGGGAGGGGGCGAGGGGAATTCAATGTGAAGAGATTGAAAGTATTTGTAAAGAAACTTAAGTTTTGTTATTGAATTATTAGTTGGTAATGGTTAATAAGCTTTGTCTGGTATCAATTAGTCCTTTGATTAATAATGTTGCTAACGAACTATTCTGATTATGACTGATGTCTTATTACTACTGAAGTAATGACATTCATTGATTGATTTGATTGATATGGTATCTAGTTATATGGACATGGATTATTACTTAGTGATTCATTTAGTGTAGAAGTGAAATTTGTTAATGAAAATTTATTTTTATATAGTTAACATCATGAGTCAATTGAAGCTAGATTACCGTGGAAAACCTGAAAGCACTGGACGGACGTTTCGTCCTATTATGGGACTCCTCAGCAGTACGCATCCACGATCCAGCACTCTGAACATTCAAACCCAGAACCTATCAGTCTCACGCCAGAGCACTTAACCACTAGACCACTTAGCCGGTAGGCATCGAACGGTGTTAACGTCTAACTTCAACCAATCCATGAAATTGCGCGACCAACTTTCATTGTACTGAGGTAGATACCTGTCTCTATATAACATGGATCAGCTCCACTGGCCACAACTCCTGTAGAGTCCTACAATTGGACGAAACGGTCATCCACTGCTTCCAGGTTTTCCATGGTGATCTAGCTTCAATTGATTCATGATCTTAACTATCAAATTTACTATAATATCCACAAAAACCCCTTCTGATAATAATCAATTTTTTTTTTATAAATTTAATTTTGTATTTAGGATGAAAAAAATCAAGTGTTAACAACGATCATATGGATGGATTTAGTAAGTAGTATATTACATCTAATCAATATGAATATTTTGATATAACCTTTCTTCTGTACAATAATCTTTAATGATCCTGATTCATTGATCAGATAAGGTAGCACTTATTGACCGATTCAACATACTCCTGTTCTCAAATCTGTTAAGTCTTCTAATTGAATGTTAGATTCGGTTCCTAAGGTGTTCTAGTAATTCACAGGTTAAATCTACACAGCAACTTGAACACGAGAGTAAAAGCGCGCAGCATGGAAGAAAACGCTTCACACTATAGGTTCATTCATGTACAGAAAATATAGGGTATTTATAATATTTTAGATGACCTTCAGCTTCTGGAAAGTTCTGGAACGCTACTTCTAACAACGCTACTACTACTACTAGTAGTAGTAGTAGTATAGATAATCATCCAATTAGAAACTCAGTATGTAACTTTTCACTTTCTAAATGTTTCTGGTAAAACTTCTATTGAATACTGATTGAATAAGATGTTTCTCAGCGTTTACAGAATTTTTATTTGGCTTTTTTTCTGAGATTTTTCTGGATTTTCACAGTTGAAATCATGAGTCAATTGAAGCTAGACCACCATGGAAAACCCGGAAGCACTGGACGGCCGTTTCGTCCTATTATGGGACTCCTCAGCAGTGCGCATCCACGAACCCGCTCTCGCGAGCGAGATTCGAACCCTAACAAAATGCCTAACAAAATGTCAATTAGAAAATGAGAAAAGGTGGAATTAATTTAGTTTCTATATTATTGAATCAGAAAATTTACACTATCGTATATATTAATTAGTAAATCAGAATAGATCATGAATAAGGAGATATAAAGTATGCCCAATTAGAACATTCCCAACATAATTCTTAATAACAACCTCCTAACGAACTTAAAGAGAGAATATAATATAACAATACTAAATAATAGTTGAATTCATTAATTGATTTAAGCTAGACCATCATGAAAAACGCGGAAGTACTAAAAGGTCATATTGTTCCAATATGGGATACTTCAGCAGTGAGCATCCACTAAACGACCGTTCAATGCTTTCAAGTTTTCAATGGTGGTCTAGTTTTAATTGAATCATTAATTCAACGATTAAATTACTAAATTCTCCACAAAACTCTTTGAAAATAATAAATAAATTAAATGTATGCTGACATTTAGGAGGATAGAAAGATTTTAATGAATATATGTTAAAAATATAAGTCGTGGCCAGTGGAACTAATCCATGTCAGGTAGAGACAGGTATCTACCTCAGTACATTGGAAGTTGGTTGCGCAATTTCGTGGATTGGTTGAGGTTAGACATTAACACCGTTGGATGCCGGCTCAGTGGTCTATCGGTTAAGGGCTCTGGCTCGAGATTGGTAGGTCCTGGGTTCGAATCTCACAAGAGCGGGATCGTGGATGCGCACTGCTGAGGAGTCCCATAATAGGACGAAACGTCCGTCCAGTGCTTCCAGGTTTTCCATGATGGTCTAGCTTCAATTGACTCATGATCTTAACTATAAAAATATAAGTACTGATATCCCAAAAAATAGCTTGAAAATGTTTTAAGTCAATTGAAAGAAATGTATTCACTTTAATTCTTTGATTTTGTATAATATAGTTTTACTCTATGCTGATTGTTTACTAATTGGTTATCATTTCTCAAGGTTATTTAAGATTCGTTCTAAGGTCGTCCATAAATTATAATCTTGCCTTATGGAACACTTCAGCAATCCTCAATTGCACAATAGGATGAAACAATCGTCTAGTGCTTTCAGGTTTTCCTTGGTAGTTTAACTTCAATTGATTCATGTTTTCAATTATGAAAAATACTAAATCTTCACAAAACCTCCTTCTGATTATAGATTGTTGTTATCATCATGTTTTTCTTACTTACAACTTTTATTACAACACAGTTACTAACTGATTAATGGTATAATTATCAATAATTACATAATATATAGATTTTTGTATACATGTACTTACATGTTACCATCTGAAATAACTAAGATGAATCTAGACCCCCCCCCAATTGACTTTTTTTATAACTTTTATTACTTTCATTATATTCATGATTGTAATTACTAATTGTATAGGCAACAACAACAATATTGATGATGGTAACCGAATTTTTTTTTTTGTTTTTTTTTGTGGTCAAAAAATAAACAACATTTGTGACAAAATATCAACGAAAAATATGACAGTTACAAAAGAATAAAAAATTATTCATTTATTAAAAAAAATGGGAGGGGGAGGGGTAAAAAGTAGACCAACTTGTATCATTGTGTAAAATTGAAAATATGAAGAAGTACGTGTGCGTGTGTATTCACGTGTGTGTGTGTGTATGTGTTCGTGTGTGTGTGTGTGTGAAAGGGAAAGACAGTAAAGATTAGGTGATGAATGAAAGATATACTAATCACAAATTATATAGTATATATATTAAATAAACTACTTATAATCTTCCCCCCCCTCTCACTTTATCTATCCAAAAAGCTTATATATATGTATATTGATGTACTAAAGAAAAAAAAACATGGTTACAAATAACTAGGATACCAGTTTATGTCAATAATGCCATAAATGATAATGTCATAGATTAATGTCAGCTGTTATATTATTTCAACATTCATTAATTTGGCTCAAAGTACATACTTAAGAAAAAGGAGAAGAATTCAATGTTTGTTTTACTTTTCCACCCCCCCACCCCCTTTTAAGGTTTAACCAGTACACTTTTTTTGTTGTTGTTGATCTAGTTGATAAATGTTAACGTATATTACAGTTTTTTTGTTATTTAAATAGACTGTCATGATATTATCTTCTATTCGACAAGTTTCAAATAGAATAGAATATAAATCTTAGATTCTATTTCTGTTATAGCTTGTGAATCAAGTAGATGCCTTGTTAATGTATGATGTGATATGACCGCTAATCAGTGAGGAGCGAAATATAGATTGAAATAATGACACTCACGGAAACCGTACGAACAGTCTAGAATATGTATCAGTCCTGCTTCTGCTTAGCCTAACCAATTAAGTTCAAAACAGTCTCTGTGGTATGAATCGTTATGTTTTAAACATACTGAGTTTATATACCGAACAGACTGACCACATAGTACCAATAAAATAGAAAATAACATTTGTACAAGATTCAGCTAAATGTGTCTGTGAATGTGGGGAACAGTAATTAATGAACTGAGGATAACTCAAGAATGATAAATCATAGGTCAAAATAAAGGAAGATACGAATATGAATAATTTAGTTATTTAGCCATTATATGATAAAAATATATGCATAATGTTGGTTCATAAATAGATCCTAAAGTTAACATTCATTATCCTTATCGGGGCAGTCACAATCCTAATATAATAAGTTGAATTTATAAGTCGATTAAAGCTAGATCATCATAGTTGAAGTTGGACAATAACACCGTCGGATACCGGCTTTCGCCAGGTGAGACCGAAGTTCGTGGATTCGATTCTCTTTGGTGAAGGATAGTGAATGGGTATACTAGGATGAAATGAGCCGTCCAATGCTTTTACGTTTTTCATGGTTGTCTAGCTTTAATTGACTCATAAATTCAACTATTAAATTACTGCTATTTCCACAATAGTCAGTAAAATAATGTGATGAAAACTGTCGAAAACTCGAATGAATCTCAGATATTCGAAGGTAGCAAACAGAAAACCCTATTCAACGTATAGTTTATTATATTTGGCACGAATAGACAGTAAGCTGTACCTATAATTGAAAGCATGAGTCAATTGAAGCTACACCACCATGGAAAACCTCTTCCTATTATGGGACTCCTCAGCAGTGCGCATCCACGATCCCGCACCCGCGAGATTCGAACCCAGGACCTACCAGCTTCGCGCCGGAGTACTTAACCGATAGCTTCAATTGACTCACGCTTTCAACTATGAAAATACTAAATCTCCACAAAATCCCCTTTGTACATATAATCTCGAGAAAACTGATGCACCTGAGCATTTTGAGTACTTACTTACTGACGCTTCTGACTTCTCGTGGAGGAGCATAAGCCCACCAGCATTCTTCATCCAGGTTTTAGTACAATTTATTCAATTCCTTAGTATAAGAAGTTACTATTGAGCCATGATACACTTTCTGAAAAACTAATATATTTTCACTAGTTGATTACTAATTACTAAGTAATATCACCTTTGTTTATTTGTTAGTCCTTAACAAGTTAGTATTCCTTCGTTATCATATAAAAATAGTTTGTTCAAATGAGTGATGAAGACTAGTTAATAATTTCGGTTAGCATCTTGTTATATCTCAAGCGTTTAGAATTCACTAGTTAGCGAACGGAACAACGACTTGCGACCAGAGACTGATAAGCTAGCTATTCTAACGCAACCCAGACTCAGCTAACTAGAGTAAGAAGTCCAAGTTGGAAGAGTGGGAAATATATATCGTAACAACCAGAAGCACAGTAATCGTAAGCGGAAAAAATCAAACGTATATATACAGCAACAAATTGTCCTTGGGCATCATTACAAAATAACACACTCAAAGATACAATGGACCAATAGCGTTAAAGATATTTTACAAGAGGGAAATTCGACCCCGAAGGTGAAAAGAGCGTTTTTGGCGCGAAAACAAAGAAATTCAAATTTTCAAAATAAAATTACAAAATTAAGCCATTTACCAAGTAAGTTCTGGCGATTTGACATCCCCAACACATCTAATGATAAATTTATGGATTCATGAATCAGAATGTCCTACGGTAATTTGATCGATTAAGACATATCAAAAACAATAATTTGAAATTTCAAAGAAACCATCTCTCATCAACCTCTGAGAGCCTGTAACCCGTTTCATCAAGTTTCTTATTTATAAATCAGTTAAAGCAATTGAGTGGGAACTATTTATTTATTTATTTAAACACATAAATTTTGGTACAAAGAAGAACCAGATACATATGATCTGCACAAATCTCATTTGATTTGTGTGATGGCTGTGATACTACCCAGGTTCCCAAACAGAAACAGTGGTTTCCTT